AAAAAAAAAAAAAAAAAAACAAGAAAAAGACAGTAAAAATGGAAGAAAATAGAAAGTTATCCTTCTCTCCCAAAATGTTCCCTAAATAATACAGTAAGGGAGTTAATATTAGTCTTTTTATTTCTTCCATGAAATTCACTAGCCCTTAGGATATAGGATGATACTTAGTAATGACAAGGCTAACAATTCCTTTGCCCTAATTGTTCCTAAAACATGCACATTCAGCTGGGAGGCTGAGGTGGAGGGTTGCTTGAGGCCAGGAAAAAAGACCAGCCTGATCAACACAGCAAGACTATCTCTACAAAACTAAAAAAGAAATTAACTGGGTGTGCTGACACACACCTATTCTAGCTACTCTGGTTGAGACAGGATGCCTCAGAGCCCAGAAATTTAAGTATCCCCTGAGCTGTGATGGCACCACTGTATTCCAGCCTGGGTAACAGAAACCCTGTTTTTTTTTGGCCAGGGCTGGGTTTGAACCCACCACCTCTGGCATAATGGGGCGAGCGCCCTACTCCTTTGAGCCACAGGCGTCGCCCACCCTGTTCTTTTAATTTAAAAAAAAAGCAGATTCTGGCAGCACCCATAGCTCAGTCAGCAGGGCACTAGCCACATATACCTAGGGTGTTAAAAAAAAAAAAAAAGCAGATTCACTATATTCTATGTAAAAATCCAAAGCATCACTTAAGTATACACTTACCTAGGTTCCCTTGCTCTATTGTCAGCACCACTTCATCCATCACCACAGCCCTAAAGTCCAGTTCCTCCTCACAACATTTGGCCTTCAATGCTCGTAAGATCTCTTTTTGGGGATAGTCTTCCCTGATGCGACGATCTGTCAAAAACCACAACTTGGCAGCCACAGAACTACACATCTTGATCTGCTTGTTCTTTTGTGTAGATTATTTCTTCTTAAACGTAAAGTCTATCTAGATAGAAAATACACATAAGGTAAACCAAAAAAATCTACTTGATTGATGGATTTCACAAGTAAATGCTATCATTACATACTAATTACACAAACAAGAGAAAAGAGATATGTTTTTCCCTTTTGATTAAAATTAAAAATTTTATACTACTAATAATATGGAAACTGGCAACCTCTCTAGAAATAAGATTTCGCCATTTTCCCTGGGGAAGCTGCCAAAGTAGCAAGTCACTTATCAAACTTTCAGTACATTTCCTATATTTTATACTGTATGGAATGTACTTTAATCTGCTCACCAGCTTTTCACTGTTTTATCCCCTCCTTCTAAATGCAACTGCCTTCGTAATATGAAATAAATGAGATTCCTATCATCAACAATGTATCTCCATCTTCCCCATCACTGGAAACCACAATTAAGCATATTTTTGTATCTGTTGTTAGTTTCACATTCAATTTTCTTGGTTTGCTTTAGATATGTAGAAAAAAAGAAAAGAAAAAAGAGACAGTACCTAAATCATTAGCTGAGCATCAATGCTGAAGTCACTTACACAACAACCTCAATCGAAATACGTAATGAGAAATTGTGGAAAAGGACTTTGAATAATTAAAACAAATGCCCAGATTAATTTAACAGATTTGGATTTCAGAGAAATACATGATCTTACTCAATGTTTTTATTCAAAAAATAATTTTTTTGAAATAAATGAAGCTTTTTTTACTAAAATACAAAAAGGATTACTTTTTCCCTAGACTATGTCACTTCTCCAACTTTATATCGTGAGCAATACAACAGACGAAAATCATCTTCTTGAGAAGCAGCAAAAAAGTTACAAGTTTGAGAAGCAACAAAAACATATTTTTAATTTTTCCCAAAAAAACACATTCAAATATTGTTTCAGATGATGTGCAAACCTAATGCAGAAGGAATGGGGAAGGGCAAAAATTAAGGGAAGCAAAGGTCACACGTATTTGCTAACTTCCTAAAATGGGCAGACAGAAGTGGTTTTACTCTCACAGATAAAAGCCCAAAGGGCCTGCTCCAAAGATGCACATGGTTGAGGTAAGAACTCTGTTGGGCAAAGGTACCACCAGAGCCAACAGCACACACCCCAGCACCTTGGCCTGCCATGCCTGTGCCACACTCAATTGGTAAGTTAATAAGTATACTATTTATGAGGCTGGGCTCACACTTTTAATAATCCCAGCACTCTGGGAGGCCAAGGTGGGTAGATTGCCTCAGCTCATGAGTTCAAGACCAGCCTGAGAGCAAGACGTTGCGCTAAAAATAACCTGGTGTTGTGGCAAACACTTATGGTCTTAGCTACTTGGGAGGCTGAGGATTGAGGCAAGAGCCTGAGGTTGCTATGAGCTAAGATGCCACAGCACTCTACCCAGGGAAACAAAGTGAGACTCTGTCTCAACAAATACTATTTGTACAGAATATCCTGTACATCCTACAGCACAAACTTTTACTCCCTTTTCCCTAAACAGAATGTTTTTGATTTAACCTTTTGTCTTATAAAATTTTCTTAAAAATAGATTTCCATTTTAACCATAGATGAGGAAAAGGGACACAAGCAAAGCTTCCCTACGAAAGATCCCCAGCCTCCCTTGAGGAAGAAACTATTTAAAAAGGCCCTTAAGGGTGGTGTCTGTGGCTCAAAGGACTAAGCACTGGCCCCATATGCCGAAGGTGGAGGGTTCAAACCCAGCCCCAGCTAAAAACTGCAAAAAAAAAAAAAAAAAAAGCCCTTAAAAAGTAAGCAGTAGTCTTTGAAACACGCACTGATCTCCAATACTCTAAAGCAACATCAGTACCTCCCCATTAGTTCGGGACTCTCCTCAGTTCACTGATGATAAATTTCATTGTATGGTAGGCTTTCACCTGAGGGTGCTGGCCCAATAGGTATCAGAAAGGGATGTTATAGCCACTGGCAAATGGGAAGCAGAAATGTTCTCCTGATTACTGATACATCAGCTATCCAGAAATACTGTATCATGGGCCACAACAGTAATGTAACTCGGTATTTCCAATGATTCTGTAATCAGACAATACTCCCCTTTCAAGAGCCACAAAACTTTCAATCAACATGTTCTTCTATATCAAACCTTTGGTTACTGGGTATAATAGTCCACTCCTATCCACAGGAGATACATGCCAACACCCACAGTGGATTGCCTGAAACGTCAGACAATACTAAACTCAATATATACTATGTTTTTTCCCTATGCCTATATATCTATGATAAAGTTTAATTTACAAATTAGACACAGAAAGAGATTAACAATAACTAATAATAAAATAGAATAATGATGTACTGTAATAAGTTATATAAACATGGTCTCTCTCTCAAAATACATTATCATCCTATACTGTGCCATAGGTAAATGAAACCAGAGAACGGAAAACTATGGAAAGAGAAAACTGCAAGTTGGATGGGGGGTACAGGATATCTGATTCATAATTGTTGTTGTAATCCCCATCTAGACACCTGTCACCTAGGTTGAGTTCACAATATGAGGTCTGGCCTCTGGCTGCAGAGCCAGGCCCAGTACAGGTGGCAGAAGGACTAAAGACAAACCACACACTACTGAAGGACAGTTCAAGGTTTTCCTGCTCACACACACTCTGCTGTCCAATAAGGAATGAGCTGGAAGCAGCAGGTAAATATGGTGTGACTTCCTTGCAGAAGACATACATAATTCTGGATGGTAACAAAGCTGGCAAAGATCAAGAGTATATGTAGTCCCTGGCTCACTTGCTGGTCCTGGACAGGGAAGGGGGTATGCACTTTTCTCTGAATCCACTTTCCTGACAACTCTCCTTCTATATGTAATGCCCAAAGCTCCATTCTTAAAACTCTGTTTTTCCAACTCTAGAAATGTCATCCTTATCTAGGTTTCAACTATTATCACTGAACCCTTCATCTATCTCCTTCCAACTAGGAGCTCTTGACTGAATTTTTTTTTTTTTTTTTTTTGGCTAGGGCTGGGTCTGGGTTACCCTACTCCTTTGAGCCACAGGCACT